TGTTTGGAGAGTTAAATATTGTAAAGTTGAATTTTATAAAGTTTTAACTTTCCAGTCAATACAAAACAGCGGCCGCGAACAACATACTAGCAGTATGGTAGGGATATTTTGTAAGTTTGGCTGTTTTGTAAGAGTCGCACGCTGAGAGTCGACAGATTTTCCCCACATCAAAAACTAAAAAATTTTTTTTCTCGAAAACGAGGCAAAACACGTTCTTGGGGTTTTTTTCTAAGATGTAGGAAAACTGAAAGTATATAAAAAATATTTTTTCAGATTTTTCGACTCTCTCCCCGATTGTTAAAAAAATTGTTGAAAAGTTTATTGTTAAATAAACAATGGAAAACAAAACATTTTTGGAATCTTCATTTTTTTCTCGTAAACTAGAACATTTTTCGCGTATTTTGAAAAAAAAAGCAGTCTGGCTAGCATTATTAGTAACAGAGCTATGAATTTTTGAAAAATAAAGTAGTCTAATTTTTAATTGTTTATATCTCGATTAATTTTGCAATAAGAAAAAAATCCTTTGGCACAAAATTCTATCTCCCAAAAGTACTACCTTTGTGCAAAATTTAAAAAATTTCTGAGATATGACTGATCCGCTTCACGTGGAATGGCCCATATATATATATATATATTTATATGAGGAGACGCTTTTTTTGGTTTGCAGTAGACAGTGAGTGAGAGCGGTATGGTTTTTGCCAACGGTGACCTTCCTGTGGTTTTGTTAACGTATGTTTGTCATTCGCAATTTTTCGCAGGGAAGATAGCCGCCAGTGATCAAGTCAGGTGTTTTTGGTATTTACAATTGTATATTTACAGAGAAGTTATGTACAGGGTGTATATACAGTGTATATTGATGCGACGTCTTTACGCGGTTGCCCGAGGAGGCCGTCTGGCGTGGTCGTCTTATGTGGCCTTAAAAAGGCCGATGGTTCCGGGACCGCCTAGGTCGCGGGCTCCCGAGGACCCCAGGCTATACGCGGCTGCGTAAGCGTATAGCTCCACCGGCGTTTTTCTGCCGGCGTTTGCGTTGCCTTATTGTAGGCGTATATGTCCTGCGTTTGGGTCTGCGTTGACCTACCCTCGGATGCCAGCGCGACCTGCGACGCCTTCTTTGCCGTGTCGCGTGGTCCCTGACCGTGGTCCACCGGGAGCGGGGTGATTAGGCTCGGCACCGCTGTGGCCTTCAGGATCGCCTCGGGCGTCGGGCGCTGGTCCGACCTGTGTGAGGTTCCCCGTTGCTGCTGGCGTGGGTCTGTGCCAGGGCCGTAGCTCATGGCCACGAGTCTCCACTCTGGTGTCGGTCCGGCTGTCGAGGATACGCCTGCGGCCGCTTTGACTCGCTTCGCTGTCGTGACCCTGCGGGGCCTGGTGGCGACCCTCGTCGAGGACTCGGCAGCGCCGGTACGGGTCGACGTCGTCTGCGGCAGCTTGGCGGAGTATCCCTACTTTTCCTCAAAAAGACCTTTTTTGCTGTAGTGGATTCCGTAGGAGATTTTCGACTAGAGAATCGTGTCTGGTTTTTGGTCGGAAAACCGGGCCTATTTATATCCGCTCGGACCGTTTCTTCCTTGCGAGAAAGTCGGTCTTCTAGTGGCTCGTCTCGGAAAATAGCACTCGTGGCCGGCGCGTGATCGCTTCGCGCGCTTCGGTGGGAGTGCAAAGTCCAAAGTCGGCGCGCGATATGTCGAACGGCCGCGGAGGCTCGGTGGCGCGCGCGTCGCGCGCGTGGTCGGGTGGCGCAGATATGCCGCCACAGGACCCCCTTGGTTGAAGGAAAGCCTTAGCCGAGTTGAAATCTCTCGGGCGGTTTGGAGATTCTCTCCGCTCGTGTCCTGAACTCCTCCTCGTGTTTTGGAGTTTTCGTTTTTGCTGCTTGAGTTGTTTCCATCTCTTTTTTTTGTAGTACGTACGCTGGTTTGATTCGGTCCACTGATACGTGTGTTGCTTTGCCATTCATCTGTACTTTGAAAGTTTTGGGTCCTCTACTCAGTACCTCGTATGGTTCATCGTAAGGTGGCTGTAAAGCTCCTAGTGCTAGACCGTGTCGTACGAAAACTCTTAGCGTGATCTCCAGTTCCTTGAAGATGAATGTTGTCCTTTGGCCATGGCGTTTTACTACAGGCCGTGTTTTCTGGATTCTCTGCTGAAGCCTTCCAACGATATCGTCTGTTCGTGTGTATTTGTGGTCGTCGCGCTCGTGGAGAAACTGGCCTGGTAACCTTATCGATTCCCCAAACACTATCTCTGCTGGGGTTGCATTGAGATCCTCCTTCCAAGCTGCGCGGATTCCCATTAACACAACTGGCAGTACTATCGTCCAGTCTTCCGTCTGGTGGAATTTGATTGCTGCTTTAAGTTGTGGAAACGTTTTACTAATCCGTTGGCTGCCGGATGGTACGCCGTGGTGTGGATATGTTTTGTTCCTGTCAGTTGCGTGAGTCTCCGGAAGAGGTCTGCCTCGAATTGCCGTCCCTGGTCGGTCGTAATTCTTGCCGGAGCTCCAAAGCGTGCTATCCACGTGGCGAACAGTTGGCGTGCGATTGTCTCTGCTGTAATGTCCTCTACTGGTATTGCCTCTGGCCATCTCGAGAACCTATCTACAACTGTGAGACAATATTTGTAGCCTTTTGAATACGGAATGGGGCAGACTAAATCTATATGTATGTGCTCAAAGCGTTTAGTCGGTTTTTCGAAGGTGCTTGTTGGTGTGACGTTATGTCTGGTTATTTTGCTCCTTTGGCATGGTATGCAGGTTCGTGCCCACAGTTTGCAGTCCTTTTGGATCTGTGGCCACACGTACCTCTGTACCACCATCTTGGCCGTTGCTTTGATCCCCGGGTGTGACAGTCCGTGTATGGAATCGAATGCTTGCCTGAGGAAGGTTTTCGTTACAAAAGGCCTTACTGTTGGAAGTGTCGCAGTATAGTTTCTTTGTGGTACCTGGTAATGCCATTTTCACGAGTTTCAACAGTTCGTCGTTCTCTTTTATACTCTGTAGTTCGGTGTCCTTCTCTTGGTCATCCGCTAAGCTTTCTAGGTCCACTGCCTTCTGTATAGCCTGCACCCTTGATAGTGCGTCTGCTACTACATTATCTTTGCCGGATACGTGTTGTATGTCTGACGTAAACTGGCTGATGAACTCTAAATGGCGTGCCTGTCGTGGGGAGCTGCGTACCGGATCGTGTTTTAATGCGTATGTTAGAGGTTTGTGATCCGTGTATATCGTGAATAGACGTCCTTCCAGTAGATGACGGTAATGTTTCAGTGCTACGTAGATGGCTAGTAATTCTTGGTCGAAGGGGCTGTACTTGGTCTGTGCGTTGTTCAGCTTCTTACTTAGGAATGCTAATGGCTGCCATCCTTCTTTCGTCCTTTGTTGAATTGCTGCTCCTACGGCTACGTCGGAGGCGTCTGTCGTTACTGCTAATTCTGCCTCTGGATCCGGGTGCGCTAGTATTGCTGCCGGTAATGGGCTCTCCTTGGAGTTCTCGAAGACTTTCTCTAGTTCTGGTGTCCATGCTATGGGCGTCTTCCCGTTCTTTTTCGGTCCTTTCAGTTGCTCGTTTAGTTTTGCCTGGTCTTTGGCTGCGTCTTGTATGAAACGTCTATAAAAATTTAGCATTCCCAGGAATTGGCGCATTTGTTTGACTGTTTTTGGTTGTGGGAAGTTTCGTATTGCCTCTACTTTTTCAGGTAGTGGGCTAGTCCCTTCTGCTGTTACGAGGTACCCTAAGAATTGGACGCGTCTTTCTCCGAAGACGCACTTTGCCGGGTTGATTTTCACGCCGTATTTACATAACCGCGTGAGTATTTGTCGCAGGTGTCCCTCGTGTTCTTCTTCTGATTCTGAAGCGATTAAGATATCATCAATGTAGGCGTAGCAGAATTCTAGTCCGCTTGTCACCTTATTGATGAATCTCTGGAATGTTTGTGCCGCGTTGCGTAGTCCGAACGGCATATACTTGAATTCGAAGAGTCCGAAGGGTATCGTGACTGCTGTCTTCGGGATGTCAGCCGGGTGTACCGGGATTTGGTTGTATGCCTTGACCAAGTCGAGCGTGCTGAAGATCTGTTTTTTATGTAAAAACAGATCTTCAGAAACGTCTGTGCGAAGTCCTCGATATGTGGTATCGGGTAGCTGCCCGGTACGGTCCGTGCGTTGAGTCCTCTATAGTCGCCGCACGGTCTCCATGCTCCTCCTTTTTTAAGGACCATGTGCAATGGCGTCGCCCATGGGCTCTTTGAAGGCTGGATTACTCGCTCCTATAGCCAGAGGTCAAACTCTGCTTTGGCCGCTTTTAGTCTATCCGAGGCCAACCTGCGTGGTCGGCATGCTACTTGCTTTCCCGTTGGCTGTGTTGTCTCCAGGAATTCTGCCAAGATCTTGTGGTATCTTGTCTCGCCTAGCATAGTTTTGATTGAAGCGACCAGTTGTCCGCTTGACATTCCTGCTGCTGCTAACCCGGTTTCTCCGTCTATCAGTTTTTTGTTTCTTATGTCCGGTAGCAGGTGGTATCTGGACAGAAAATCGGACCCAATAATTGGCTGTGTTATCTTCGCTATGGTAAAGCGCCAAGGAAACACTCGTCTCAATCCGAAATCTGGTTGTAGGGTGGTTGTCCCGTATGTTGTAATGGTTGATCCGTTTGCGGCGTATAGGGTATACGCCTCTGGTCGTTTCCTGCCTTGTAACATTGTCTGTGGGAACACGCTTACGTCTGATCCAGTGTCGATGAGGTACCTTATCTTGGTCTTTTTGTCCGTCATGTATAGGCGGCATGGTCCTGGGCTGCTGTCACTGGCCGCCATCAATGACTTGCCTCGGAGTTTTTATTTTGAAGTGGCATGGTGTTGTGCATTTTATTGCTTTGTCCCCAAAGCGTCGGTGGTAAAAGCAAACTCCTTCTTGTGCCGGGGATTTACTTCGCCATCGTGGTCTGCCTCCTGATTGGTTTCTGTGTCGGCTCCGTGTTCTTGCCTGGTTTCTTGCCATTCTCGTGACTTCTGTTGTAAGTTCTGCCACCTGTTTGCTTAACGCTGCGATTTGTAATTCCCACGGGCTTCTGTTCCCGGAGCCTGTGGGTACTACCGTCGCCATGATTGTTGTCTTGCCGCTGACTTCGTGGATCCTGTTAGCCTGTTCTGCAACATCTTCTAGTCTACCTTCTGTTCTTGTGGCTAGTATTGCCTGCATGCTTTGTGGCAGTTTTGCTAGCCGTAATGTTCGTAGCAATTCCTTTGACACGGTTGTGTCTGCCAAGGTACCCAGGTGGCGCAGGAACTGTGATGGTTTTCTGTCACCGATCACTTCGTGTTCGAGTAATTGCCGGATCCGTTGTCCTTGGGAATCTGTCAGTCTTTGTATTAACGCCTTTTTTATTGTCTCGTACTTGTGTGTTAGCGGTGGTTGCGTAATTAGATCTTTAATTTCCCGTGCCTGCTTCGGTTCGATCCGCGCGAGGACGAAGGCGTATTTTGCGTCGTCGTCGGTTATGTTGAGGAGTGCGAACTGGCCCTCTAACTGTGCGAACCATAACTCCGGTTCTTCTGCTCAAAAATTTGGTATGCGCACGGAGATCCTGCTGATGTTTCACTGTCGGTCTCTTCCACCATGATTGTCTTGTCTTTTGACATCCTCATTTTTTTTTCTCAGGGTCACCAGTTTGAGGTGGATGCGTAATATTTTTAGTTTGCGAAGGAGTGAGAGCGGGACGCTCTTGCCAACGGTGATCTTCCTGTGGTTTTGTTAACATATGTTCGTCGTTCGCAGGGGATATATCTTTGCGCAGGAAAGGTAGTCGCCAGTAATCAAGTCAGGTGTTCTTTTTCTGCTATTTACAATCGTGTATTTATAGAGAAGTTGTGTACAGGGTGTATATACAGTATATGTTGATGCGACGTCTTTATGTGGTCGCCCGATGCGGTCGTCTTATGTGGCCCTAAAAAGGGCCGATGGCCTGGGGGCCGCCTAGGTCGTGGGCTCTCGAGGACCCCACGCTATACGCGGCTGCGTGAGCGTGTAGCTCCACCGACGTCGCTCGATCGGTGTTTGTGTTGCCTTATCGTAGGCGTATATGTCCTGCGTCTGGGCCGACGTTGACCTACGCTCGGGTGCCAGAGCGACTTGGGACGCCTTCTCCACCGTGTTGCGTGGTTCCTGACCGTGGTCCACCGGTAGCGGGTGGATGAGGCTCGGTACTGCTAGGGTCCTCAGGATCGCCTCGGGCGTCGGGCGCTGGTCTGCCCTGCGTGAGACTCCCCGTTGCTGCTGGCGTGGGTCCGTGCCAGGGCCGTGGTCAATGGCCACGAGTCTCCACTCGGGCGTTGGTACGGCCGCAGAAGGTACGTCCGCTGTCGCCTTGGCTCGCTTCGCCGTCGTGACCCCGCGGGGCCTGGTGGCGATCCTCGTCGAAGCTTCGGCAGTGCCGGTACGGGTCGACGTCGTCGGCGGCAGCTTGGCGGAGTTATCCTGACTTTTTCTCAAAAAGACTGTTTTTGCTTTAGTGGAGTCCGTAGATCTTCAACTAGAGAATCGTGTCTGTCTTAAGGTCGGGAAATCGGGCCTACTTATACCCGCTCGGACCGTTTCTTCTGTGCGAGAAATTCGGCTCTCTAGCGGTGTGTCTCTGAAAATGGCACTCGCGGCCGGTGCGTGATCGCTTCGTGCGCTTAGGCGAGAGCGCAAAGTCCGAGGCGAACGATGTGTCGAGTGGCCGCGGAGGCTTGGTGGCGCGCGTGTCGCGCACGTGGTTGAGTGGCGCAGACGTGCCGCCACAAACATTATTAATTATTAAAGTTTCCCTTAGCATAAAACATTAATCTTAAAAATGAGAAATTAAGTCAGAAAATTGATGATAGTGTTAAAATATAAAATAAATTATTGACAGCATGAATGACAAAAACTGATAAAAGTTAAACATAAAAATAAACATAAAAAATACAGAATTTATAATTTCTGAGATGTCAGAAACAATGTCGATTGTATAAAATAAATGTTTAAATTTAAATCCGATGCTGTGTGAGTATATATTATTTACTATATATTATATAAA